GCCACAGCCCGAAAGCTGTGGCGGATACAGCCCGAAGACTGTACCAAAGCCACAGCCCGAAGGCTGTGGCAGCCACAGCCCGAAAGCTGTGGCAGATACAGCCCGAAGACTGTACCAAAGCCACAGCCCGAAGGCTGTGGCAGCCACAGCCCGAAAGCTGTGGCAGATACAGCCCGAAGACTGTACCAAAGCCACAGCCCGAAGGCTGTGGCAGCCACAGCCCGAAAGCTGTGGCAGATACAGCCCGAAGACTGTACCAAAGCCACAGCCCGAAGGCTGTGGCAGCCACAGCCCGAAAGCTGTGGCAGATACAGCCCGAAGACTGTACCAAAGCCACAGCCCGAAGGCTGTGGCAGCCACAGCCCGAAAGCTGTGGCAGATACAGCCCGAAGACTGTACCAAAGCCACAGCCCGAAGGCTGTGGCAGCCACAGCCCGAAAGCTGTGGCAGACACAGCCCGAAGACTGTACCAAAGCCACAGCCCGAAGGCTGTGGCAGCCACAGCCCGAAAGCTGTGGCAGATACAGCCCGAAGACTGTACCAAAGCCACAGCCCGATGGCTGTGGCAGCCACAGCCCGAAAGCTGTGGCAGATACAGCCCGAAGACTGTACCAAAGCACAGCCCGAAAATGCATACATGCGTACATGCATGCATACATACATACATACATACATACATACATACATACATACATACATACATACATACATACATACATACATACTTTACATACATACATACATACATACATACATACATACATACATACATACATACATACATACATACATACATACATACATACATACATTACATACATACCATACATTACATACAGTACATACATTACATACATACATACATACATACATACATACATACATACATACATACATACATACATACATACATACATACATACATACATTACTACATTACATACATACATACATACATACATACATACATACATACATACATACATACATACATACATACATACATACATACATACATACATGCATACATTTCATACATACATACATACATACATACATACATACATACATACATACATACATACATTACATACATACATACATACATACATACATACATACATACATACATACATACATACATTCCATACATACATACATACATACATACATACATACATACATACATTACATACATACATACATACATACATACATACATACATACATACATATACATACATTACATACATACATACATACATACATTACATACATACATACATACATACATACATACATACATACATACATACATACATACATACATACATACATACATACATACATACATACATACATACATACATTAATTACATTACATTACATTACATTACATTACATTACATTACATTACATTACATTACATTACATTTACATTACATTTACATTACATTTACATTACATTACATTACATTACATTACATTACATTACATTACATTACATTACATTACATTACATTACATTACATTACATTACATTACCATACATACATACATACATACATACATACATACATACATACATACATACATACATACATACATACATACATTACATACATACATACATACATACATACATACATACATTACATACATACATACATACATACATACATACATACATTACATTGCATACATACATACATACATTACATTACATACATACATACATACATACATACATACATACATACATACATACACAATTACATTACATACATACATACATACATACATACATACATACATACATACATACATACATACATACATACATACATACATACATACATACATACATACATACATACATACATATGCATACATACATACATACATACATACATACATACATACATACATACATACATACATACATACACATACATACATACATACATACATACATACATACATACATACATACATACATACACACACATATACATACATACATACATACATACATACATACATACATACATACATACATACATACATACATACATACATACATACATACATACATACATACATACATACATACATACATACATACATACATACATACATACATACATACATTACATACATACATATATACATACATATATACATACATACATACATACATACATACATACATACATACATACATACATACATACATACATACATACATACATACATACATACATACATACATACATACATACACATACACATACATACATACATACATACATACATACATACATACATACATACATACATACATACATACATACATACATTACATACATACATACATACATACATACATACATACATACATACATACATACATACATACATACATACATACATACATACATACATACATACATTACATACATACATACATACATACATACATACATACATACATACATACATACATACATACATACATACATACATACATACATACATACATACATACATACATACATACATTACATACATTACATTACATTACATTGCATTACATTACATTACATTACATTACATTACATTACACTACACTACACTACATTACATTACATTACATTACATTACATACATACATACATACATACATACATTACATACATAGATACATACATACATACATGCATACATACATGCATGTACATACATACATATACATACATACATACATATACATACATACATACATACACATACATACATTACATACATAGATACATACATACATACATACACACACACATGCATGCATACATACATACAAACATACAAACATGCATACATACATACATACATGCATGCATACATGCATACATGCATACATACATACATACATACACGATTTTTTGTGCTGACATTTGTCCGTCTGAAGAGCTCCCTGACCGCAAACTGGGGTCGGCGGCACTGGGCGGCAGCCCTTAAATAGATGAGAGTATGTGTTCTGGAGCCGGTGTGAAGGCACAACCAGCGAGACACCACTCGTTCACCAGTAGAACAAGGCTGAAAGGCAATCCTCCGCCCAGCCAGACTGCGCTTGGGCGCATCAAAATAAACGACGTGGACGCAAGGGGCGAAATAGGGATTTCAGCCGACAACGTATTGGGTCAATCCAACGGCAATCTTGATCAAAAGAATACTTTGAAAATGCGCAATAGACAGATTAGAAACCAACCTTCTGAGTGGCGTTTTTTGTTGGGGGGGGGAATGCTGCAAGGGTGAGGCGCAAAATACATCCACTCAGGGGGTTGGCCTCTCTAGATAAATAGACCGTCCTCTGTGGGTTCCTTAGGGTGATCAGATACGCAGGCGACACTTCAGCTCCTCCTGCACGAAGCTTTGGACGCGCTCGCGCACGCTGGTGCAGCTGAGTCGGCTCCCACACACGCAGGGCGGATGCTCCTGGCTCAGCTTCAAATAAATCTAAAATACCCTTGGGATGGATGAAGCCTGGTGAACACCGGGAGAACCACCATCCTAACTTGTGCTAATAATCTGGGCTAGAGGTTTAATGATTTTGAACCGACTTAACATTGCCTCTCATACATACAAGGGTTGGGGCCCTAATTTAGCAAGCATGAACATGACAATGACATCTTGTGCCAGGGCTCCGTTGCCCAGTTTTGTGTCAGTGACTCCAACTCCAAGCAGCCGAAAAGCATGCCCAGTCATAAGTGAGCACGACGGCCTGTTAAGAGATCCTCTGGCTAATCTAGCCATTCGAAGGGGATCAATGTGAGTTTGCTATCAGCCCTTTGGTTGCCTAAGTCCTAAGAGGCTCGAAGTGACTAGGACGAACCTTCGAGGTCTTATTGTCCATGCGTTTGATGCTTTATGTAGTCATTGTTTATGTTTGCTGACAATGCCATTCTCCACGACATGGACACAGCACCAGGCGGCCACAGCATTTGTTTCTGCCATAGCACAGTCTTCGCAATGCTCTGGTGGATTTCAAATTTCAGCTGACCACAGGAGACTGGATCCCCGCTGGGTTTGAGACTCGTAGAGCTCAACTCCTTAGCGGGGGCCGACATCCTGTGGCCAGCTGCTTGGGCGCTAGGAAAGAGCCTGATTTCAACTGCAGCTTCAGCATCATATGTTGACGCTTGAGCAGTAAGCAAACAACAATCCCTCGCCAACACCCTTCAAGCTCGGAGCTACAGCATCGAGGCCTTCAATTGTCTGGCCCAATGTCAGCTGGAAGAGGCCCATCCGATGCCCCTGCGCCGGCAACGCTCTTGCTTGGTGCGAGTGCAACTGAACCGAAGGTTGCCTTCCATAGCTCTCAATGTGAAACGTCTCCACAGATTGATCCACCTCGAACGCCACCTCGTACAAGACTGTGCAGTCCTGGCACTCTCTTGCTCCCTTAAAACTCACTCAAAGCGTCCTATTAAGTCCTATGTCAAAACTCTGTTTCAAGCTGGCAGGGCGCGACTTGCCAAACGGCACCGCCAGTTTTCAAAGAAGCGCCCCAGGGTGGCTGTTGGGGGGGCTGAAAGCAACTACCAAGCTCCTGAGTGCAGACTCCTGGTGGGCGACCTTGGCTTCTGGCTCTTGCCGCCCACAATGACCAAGTCACCCTCACACAGCTGCACGTTGGGCTCCCTGGCCGCCTGCGATGCGCTCAAATCGGAAACATGCGCCGAACTAACAGCTCCACGGACCCGCTTGAGATGTTCGTTCATGTCAGAGGACAGAATAGTTGCAGAAAGTTGGACGAACGACTCGATGCCAAAGCACTTCCCAGCCCTTGCGGACTCAAAAACACAGATTGACAAAACGGAGAACCAGGACAACCCTCCCAAACTTCCTTCAGGGGGCAATATATTTGAGTTTGAAGTGTTCAGGCCATGCCATGCTTCAACATGCTGAAGTCTGTGCGTTGTACGTACCCTTTTGAAACCGGCTGTTGCAGACCCCGCAGTGAGTTAAGGTGTGTTGACGCCACAAGTGTCAGTTTCCAGTTACCGTAGCCCTTGAGACGCATGCCCCAGCTGGGCCAGGCACTGCCACGCGGAGATCCTTGGACACAGTGAAGCGCCCCTGGCGCGTGGTGAGCTCCACCAAGTCGTAGGGCCTCTTGCGGTGCAACTTTAGGCCGGCCACAGCGGTGTCAGTTCGGTCGTGCAGGCGCACGCGGTCGCCAATCCTCAGCTTCTCGACGCGCAGCAGATGGCCGTCCGCACCCGGCAGCACTGTATTGGGTGCGAAGCCCGAAGCACTTGGCCGATCGGCTGCTCGCATCGCTGGCGGACTGAACATCTGACTGGTCTCCAACAGGAAAGAAGGAGTCCGTCACATTGTTTGACACCGTGACTGCGCCTGAGGCCAAGTGCCCCCCATGCATCGACGCTTGCTGGAAACTCAACCCGGCCCCTGGCAGAACAGTTGCAATGGATAAATTTATGATACATTTTTGGAGACCAGCAGTCCTGGACCTTCATCTTGAGAAACGCTAGTGCCAGGGAGGATGAAGGCCTGGGCAAACAGAAGTGGCAAATGTTGGGACACACCTACATGCCCTCGGTGTAGGGTATAGCGTCTCTGCACGTTGTAATCAGAACTTCGGCCCCTCTTTCCAACCTGGCACTTCTATCGTAGCATCTATTTCTGCACCCTCTGTTTGAGACACAAATTGCACCCCTGGCCATGAATGAACAGGGAATCGGGGGTGTAGCTATTTGCTGATTTCAAGCGAGCCAACAATCTATGGAACTTAGCGGCGCGTAAAGAAATAACACTATGTACAGTGGTACCATTTGAAGACCTATGCAGGAATATTTTACATGATTTCAAGTGGTACCTAGTTTGGGGTACGGAGTCAAATCCTTACAGTGAGTCACGAATGAGGCTCATTTGAGTCACGCAGAAGGCTCATTTCTCAGAACCACAACGCGGACCACATCTGGTGTTGTTTATGCTGGGGTGCCAACACATCGTCGCAATCCTCTTTCAGCTTCAAGATGTGCTGTGCCAGTTCCTCTGACTTCTGGACCTTCGAAGTCAGCACAGTCCGCTGAAGGGCCTCGTTCTCACGTTGCAAAGCCATCAGATCGTCAAGCTGCTTCTGCAGGTTCTGTTTCTCCTGTATGATTTCCGCCTTCTGCTCCTTCTCCTGAGCTACTGCTCGAGCTGCTGCTGGATCTCCGCATTGTGCAGCTTCTCCATCTGAAGCTCCAACATGAGCTGGCTGACTTCGGTTTGGAGCTCGGCAGGCCCAGGCAGGGGAAGCAAGGAAGCATAGAAGCGGTCCACCCACTCTTCTGTCGTGTGCAGGTCCAACTTCGGCTCGGGAGTTTGGAAGGTCATCGGCAGCACCAGCCTCTCTCCAGCCACCTCCGCCCACAGCTTCCACGGTCGCCGCCCTTCTCCCAGCGCAGCCGCACCGAATTTGCACCCTTTCGCAAGAAGTGGCTGTGCGGCTTCCCGCCGGGAAAGAACGCGACGACCAGGCAGAACCCTTGTGAGTAGAAGCTGACCTCCACCACGTCCCTCGGCTCCTCCCCAGGCCACAGCTCGCGGAGCCAGGCCCCCAGAAACGGCTGGCTGCGGTGTAGTAACAGGCCGCCGGTGCCGGCCGCGGACCACGGCAACGTGGAGCACTTGCCGTTGTCGGACTGCCACACGAGCTGTGAGGGCGCCATGCGAAACGCCCAGTTGGACAAATAGGTGGCACTAATGAGAACCAAACTCACTCCCAAACCGAAAACAAGGGCACCAAAGAGATTCGAGGGGTTTGCCTTGGACCCTCCTGCGAAGCAAGAAATGGGGCTCCCATCAAAAACATGGCTACTCTTCAGCGGACTTCTGGCTTATGGGAGATCAAACGGTAGTCACTGCGTCGTTGCTGTGGCGGTGAGGAAGGGATTGCCCGAGTTCCAAACTTCTGCTTGACACGCCAGGACTCGACGAGTTGCTCCAGAGACCTGATGGGAAGGGGCACAAATATGTGGCCCCCAAAGGGAAACTCAAAGAGAACCGTTGACCAATTGACTACCTTCATTTGCTTGAGTCCCCTGGAAAATATATATTTCCAGTAGCGACAGATTCCCTTTCAAACCAACAGGGGGAAGTAAAACTGTTCCTAAGCAAATGGAAGTCTACCCTTGTGTTTCTTTCATCATTTAGAGTCTCGCAGCAATCCTGGAAACTGCCGGCAGAACACTGGAAGCGATAGTTAGAACGCCCTTGCCTCTGGTCGCGCGTCAAGGCGATCTTATATCCACGGACACGTCGCATCAGGTGCAACCCGCAAAGTGATCTCGTCAGAACCTAGGGGTCCCTTCAAGGTCTGGGGATTGACCAAATCGCAAAATGACGAATACCTTTGTCGCGCGCATTCCAGAGGGGCCAACCCTCCTGCCACATGGCCACGTGGTCAAACCTCCTTGTGGGCAAAATGTTAAGGTCGTGACTATGGCGATGGGTTTGTTCAACGGAGGGATGCCCATGGCCAACCCAAAGTGGCAACTCAACCCCAAATCTGTCCCGCTAGCCCCCCAAATTTGTCGGCTTTGCTTCAAATCGTGTTCCCGCAATCTGTCTAGTACTAGTCAGCGAAGCGCAGCGGGTGCAGATCTGAAGTCTGAACCCGTAGTTTCCCACGGCCCTCGGAGGTCGACCAAGTCAACCATCCAAAGCAGGTGCTCTAAAATAACAAGTAAACAAGTCTCTCCGACTCACCAGACTTGCGAGCCCCCCACCTCCCTTCGCCGATCGGAGCCATCTGTGTCCATGTGGGCGGCTGAAGCCTGACCATCGTGTTGTCCCAGTTCCATGCCAGGGAAACCAGTCATGGTGAAACCTACAGATACACCTGGATATTGTGATGATTGTGATGCACCTGGATATTGTGGTAGCTCTTTGGCAGAAAAACAGGAGCCGCTCTTTGGATGTACCAAGGGAAGCTGCGCAACTTCGGCGCCAATGCACGTGCCCAAGGCGACAAACCTCCACCCCTCAGCACCCTCGGCACTTCCAAATAACGCTATAGCGACCAGAAGAACCCATCATGTAAAACCTAGAGGGAAACAACTTAGTTGCCTATAGTTGTAAGTGGGTGCTTGGAATAGAACAGGTACTTCACTTTTGTGACTTTCAAACAAGAGGGACGAGTCATTACAACCTTTTGTTGCAGCCTCGTGCATGCCCATCAAAAGGTTGCTGAACCCTCCGTCCATTTGCTTCTCCGACCTTGCCACTCACTCCCGGCGGCCCTGACAGAAGGAATGGCTTTGATAAACGTCGGCTCTCAAGACATCCCGGATTCTCCGATTGACTTTAAAGCACCTCCCAAAAGGGGCACCCTTAAGGTCCCCCTGATGGGATATAGAACCCCTGACACCGGGGGCATAGTGTACCTAGGGTTAAAAGAAAACTAGACAGCGACCTTCAGAAACGCTGAAGGCCCGGGTTTTCTCGGAGGAAGAAGGGCACCAATCATTTGTGGGGGGCCCAATCCTATCTTCCATTCGCTTTAAGTGACATAAACCAGAATTTGCCAAACATGACCGTTTCAGTTTCGCCTCCCATCAAATCTCGGCCTTGCCAAAGTCCTGCAGAAGCTGTATCTGTGCAGGCCTTGCCTGGATCGCAGCTGGATGCGAGTGGTTGACTTTGGGCTGGAAGCCACGGGTTGCAAAAGGAGACTGACGCGGCTGACCCCATTGATTCTACTAAAAAGGCACGGTCAAAGGAATTCCCTGGATAGCAGTTCAGGTGAGCAAGAACAAGCTGATTGCCTAGTCCCAAATGCGGCCCTGCACGCAGCAAGGAAAATAGCAAGATAGTTGATCTGTATTGATGGTGCTTCTTTTGGAGACGCGTAGCATGAGCTGACAGGCCATGGGGGTTTCCCCAAATAGAAGGGGCGCCTATCAACAGTCGGGCCTCGTTTTGCAAAACGCGACTTGAAGCAAGCCTCAGGAGCAACTGTGAGAGTTGCTTCGCATCGACACGAACGCGCCAGGACCGGGCGTCGAGGAACTGCCCAGCACACAGGAAACCAGAAAGCTCGCTGAGGATGGTAGGTCCACGGCTGTGAATCTTGTCAAATCCTCTGGGCAGATCTCCGAAATAGGAAGCTGTTTGGATGATTCAAAGAGGGGCCAAAAGCAAGCATCGATTTGAGAGGTAACCTCTTTTATATTCTCGAGGCAAGCTTCAGGCAGCTCAGCCCGCAGGTGCCGGGTCCCCACTTAGCCTGTGATAGTTAGCTCTCCAACCAGACTTCAGAACACATGTGGCAAGGTTCGACCAAAAGCTTACGGAAGTGACCTGGGGGTGCCTGAAATTTCCGCATCCCTCTTGTGCAAGGCAGCAAATCAGGACAGCTGATACTGTCTCGCTCTCACTTTAAGCACCAACGATGCCAATTCTGTGGCCGTGCCCTAAATTTGCGGCTTCAGTTTGAGATGTCAACTGCCAACGGGCTTGTTAGAGTGAGGCACCAACGAGCCCTTGATGGCTTTGGCTGCGGCTTAGGGATGGCACCTATCAGCTTGAATTAAGGCCCCAAGCGGCCAACCGACCTTCAGCACAAGCAACGAGTGGGCGTCAAGCGAGTCTAAGCCAGCCCGATTGCATCGAATCACTTGAGGCACGCAAGCCAACTTCTTTCCGCAGAACGCAACCCAGATAGTTCTTCGCGGAAACGCCTTGCACATACGGCACAGAGTATGCACAAACCACGCGTCGGAATTTTCCAGGCAGCATGAGCCTAGCTGACAGTGGAATGCCTGCAAACATCCCAGACACTGGCCTGCTTGTACAAGCGCTTGCGCCAATCCTGGCAAGGTCGCCACAGTAGTGTCAGCTCTATGCCACTGGATATGGGGCTGCCTGGGTTTGGTCCAGCCCTTAAGCCGGATCCATAACGCAACTGGAAGCGGCGATGGTGCCGCAC